AATATTTACCTGTTTGCCATGGGGAAAAAAACAACAACAAATGATCAAGAAGAAAAAGAGACTAAAATCACCCACAATCTTTTTTTTTTTTTTTTTTTTAATTTTATTTTTTTTATCCTCACCTGAGGACATTTTTCCATTTTTTGTACAGATAAAGTGGGAGGGAGAGAGAGGAAGAGAGAGAGAAACATCGATGTGAAAGGGACACATCGAGTGGCTGCCACCCGCACGACCAACCAGGGCCGGGGACAAACTGCAACCGAGGTACATGCCCTTAGCGGGAACCGAACCCGGGTCTCTCAGGACCACAGGCCAACGCTCTAACCGCTGAGCCAAACTGGCCAGGGCAACAATCTTAGGTCCTAGACTTAGCTGCCATGACCACAAAGCTCAGCTCCCTGTTTGATTTTTCTCCATAGCACTGGGTACTGTCGGGCACGCTGCATATTTGATGATGGTCTGTGTGTCCCTCCAGCATGTCCACCCCCACGGCAGCTGGTGCTTTTGTCTTGCTCCCTGTTGTACCTGCTGTGCCAGCAGGAGTGTAGGGCACCACACCCTTCATCGGCACCTCTGGAGTGGATGAAGGAGCGAATCCTCGCACTCGCCTATGAATGAGAACTCACACCTCATTTGTCCCTGGAACAACCCTAAGAGGCAGGTACGCATTACCCCTGTTTTACAGGTGAGTAGGCTGAGGCTCTGGCGGGCTACCCCCCGTCTTCTTGCCTCTGCGGCCAATGTAGCACAGCCAGCGTTTTCGGTTCATACCCAAGACCTTTCCACTCTGTGCTTTCAAGGATCTTACTATTACTTTTGTGCAAATGACCTACTTTTGGAGTAGGAAAGGGGGAAGTGAGAAGGCTTAGCTCCAAGTTCCATCCCCTCACTCGGGCTCCCCACGCCTTTCTAAGGGAACCAGCTGATGAACTCAGACTCGGTCATTTGCTCCCTCAGATACGCCCCTTCTCCCCTACCAGACGCAGGCTCCTGGAATGTATTTTGCAGGTAAAATGTAAGCCCCTATCTGGGTCCAAAACATGGCTCAGGCTAGCAACTGAACCTCGCTGCGCCTCCCTTTCTGTCGGAAAGTAGGTCTAATAATCCCTACCTCATAGAATTGTTTGGAAATTCAGTGAAATTATGTATGTAAAGCTCTTGGCACGGTGCCTGCGCCCAGTTCAGGGGTGGGGGATGTCCGGCCGTATAAGGCCTGCAAAATCAGTACCAACTAACGTCACACACATCACCAAATTAGCCTGACCAAATAGAGCAGACTAATTTTTTTTTTCAATTTTTATTAATTTATTTTTGTTACAGATGTTTCTCCTTTTCTTCTCCTAGACACCCTCCTCCCCATTCCCCCCCCAGCATTATTGTCTATGTCCATTGGTTACGCATACATGCATATAAGTTCTTTGGTTTATCTCGTCCCTCCCCCTGACCCCCTCCTCTGAGGTTTGTCAGTCAGCAGGCTTAATTTTTTTTTTTTTTATTCTCACCCGAGGACATTTTTTCATTTTTTGTTCAGATAAAGTGAGAGGAAGAGAGAGAGAAACATTGATGTGAAAGGGACACATCTAGTGGCTGCCACCCGCACGACCAACCAGGGCCGGGGACAAACCGCAACCGAGGCACGCGCCCTTAGTGGGAGCCGAACTCGGGTCTCTCTGGACCACAGGCCAACGCTCTAACCGCTAAGCCAAACCAGCCAGGGCAGCAGGCTTGATTTTTAAATTGATAATTTTGTTTGGTCCTCGAATGATATTATAACTATCCAAATGGCCCTTGGCAGAAAAAAGTTTCCCTACCCCTGCAAGTGGTCAGTAACTGATTGCACAATTACAAACCTCTGCACCCTACTTTCCAGAACTCTCTGTAGCTTAGTCTTTGCTTGAAAACAGAAACTCCTTTTTTTCTTTAGTTCTGAGAGCAGATCAGTGTCCTGGAAAAAGATTCACAATAACTAAACTTTTAAGAGACTGATGATACAATAACTGCTCTGTGCCTTCTGGGGCCTAGTGGATGAAGGCTGCATGAAGGATGAGGAGGCACCTGAGGCCCCACGCCCTGTCTTGGCCCAAGCATGGCTTTAAAGCCAAATGCAAGTTAAGCCCATGGCTGTAAGGCCTCCTGCAGGGTGTTGAGGGGTAAGGAGGGCAGCTGCCTTCGCTGGTGGAGGTCTGGCTATAGTGAGGTTTGCAGATGAAGGCTGGAGGGTGAGACAGATGCGTGAAGAGAAAATTTATTCATTCAGCAAATCTTTCTTTTTCTTCACACAGGGATATTTTTCCCATTGATTTTTTTTTTTTTTAATTAATACAATAGAAGGGAGGGAGAGAGAGAGAGACACACACACACACACACATTGATTGGTTGCCTCCTTGCCAGGGATTGAACCTACAAGCCAGGTATGCGCCCTTGACTGGAATTGAACCTGAGACCCTTTGGTCCGTGGACCGGTATTCTAACCGCTGAGCCTAACCGTCCAGGGCAGCAAATGTTTCTCGAGCATCCACGAGGTACCAGACCTGTTGTAGGCCCTGCAGATACAGAGCTCCACCCTCACGGGGCTGCCACCATGGAGGGGGAGCCAGGAAAGAGGCCCGAAGTAGGAGAGCAGGCCAGCAGGGAGCCACGACCCAGGGAGGCCCCAGCCCCACCTTTTGCACCAGCCCCTCCCCTCCCCCAGGGGAGGATCAGGTCCTATTTTTGTCCCCCTTGACGGATGAGGAAACAGGGTTGGGAAGATTAAGTGGCTGCGGTCAGGCACTCAGCATTTGCTGGTGGCCCAAGAGCCTGGGAAGGGACAGTGCAGTGGCTGGTAGGGACAGTCAGGGTCACCCAAGTCTCTTCCTAAGGCAGCCCGGCTTCCCAAGAGGTTCCATAGAGGGGCACCTACACTGGGCCTGGGGGGCTGAGCCCCAGAGCCAAGATGCCCAAGTTCAAGTGTCTGTCACATCGCTCTTCCCGATTCTGCTCTCCAGACCTCTCCAGCCGCAGGGAAGTTCACTCTGCTAAGTCCGCTGGAACACACAAGTGGGCAAACCAGGCTGGTGGGCACGGGGCAGGGAGAGTGGGGCCTGGGTCCTTCCTTCAGAGCCAGTTCCCCAGGGAGGACCCAGGTTCCTATGTTCCCAGGGGGGACTCCTGCGGTCAATGGGAGGCCCAAGGAGGGTCATCAGCATCCAGGGCATTCGGTCTGCAGCCTTGACAGCCTGGCTGGTCGGGGGCAGCTTCTGCAAGGTCAAGACCAGGTGGAGAGGCTCTTTGTTTTGGCCGGGGGCGGGGGGAAGTGAGGTGGGATCTTTTATAGTAATTAAGTGGACCATCCTGATGGCCAGCGTGCCCAGGTGTCCAAGAGAATGAGACCCAGATGGCAGGACGGGCACAAGGCCTTGGAGGTGAAACAAGTCTGTAAGCGGAGGTACCAAACCGAGGCATGGAGAGAGTTAAAGCCAGGACAATGGTCTAAGGAACCACTCTGCAGACCCTCATCTTCCCTGACCTCTCCCCCTTGTAATTTAAGAAGACATAGGTCTTCCCCAGCCAGAGCCCTACTCTGGAGCCATGCCAGGGGCTGTAAGATGTCCAGGACACCCTGCAGGGGACCGTGGGGAGGCTGGAGAAGTTCCGGCCTCTCCAGCAAACTGTTTCCCAGGACTCTGGGCTTGGGTGTCTCCTCTCCTCCATATTGGTTCTGTGACCCAGAGCAAGTCGCTTCACCTCCCAGAGCCCGGTTTTCTGTCCTGTAAGCCTGGGGCAGACCATCTGTCCTGGGTGGGTGCGGGCCACCGAGGTTCCATGGCGTCTGCACTCATTTTTTTGGCACCCATCATAAAGACGTGTGCATTCTGGGCAGTGGGGCTCTTGCTCAACCTCAAACACTCCCGGTGACCCCCCGGGGCTTGGGATGGGTCCAGCCCACAGGAGGAAACTCCACCTTGCAGTTGGCAGGTTCAGTGAGCACCGAGGAAAATTTGTTGTTTCTGACATTTTTATGGGAGGATCTAATATACACAGTGTGCAGCTACCCTAATTTATAGCTGGATAAAAATGTACTTATGTATACAGCTGAGTAATTGCCACCTAAAACAAGATCCTAAACACGTCCACGGGCTGAGCCTTTCAAAGGAAGGGAAAAGGGCCCGGGGTTCTTGCTTTTTACCTTTGTACCCCACTACTGGAATCTCAGGCTAGGGACCTTTGATTTCATGCCTGCCCTCGCTGGGCAGATGGGGAAACTGAGGCTGGGGGCGGGCTCTCCAGGCAGAGGAGGGAACACCCCCTACACCTCCAGAGTCCGGGTACTTGGGCTCCCCGCCCCCCAGGCGTTGTGGATTCGAAAGATGGGTGGGGTGGATGGGTGGCGGGAGGTGGGTAGACGGGGGTGCGGCCGAGCGCAGCTCCTCCCCGGCAGGGCCGCCCCTGCGCGTGCCCCGACGCCCCGCCCCCCCGCGCGCCCCCGCCAGGCTAATTAGCAGCGCGGTTTGTTTACAAACAAGGGCGCTCGGCAGGTGCGCGCCGCCCCAGCCGTGCGCGGCCCAGTTCCAGGGGGCCCCCAGCCCTGGCCTGGAGACCCCGGGTGCGTGGGGCGGCGGGCTGGCGGGCTATGGCCGTGCTCCCACCTTTTTCCACGCCTCCCGGGGACACCAGGAAATTCGCTCGAGGCGCACGTCCCCCGCGCCAGAAGGAGGGCCGCCCGGGGTCTCCGCCTCGTCGCCGGGGTCGGACGGGTGGGCGGGCGCCCCGCCCCAGCGCGCCCCCCGGGCCGGGTCCGCGGGGCGGGGGGCGGGCGGGGGCGCGCGGGGTGGGGCGCGGCGCCGGCGGGGCCGGGACATGTAGTCCGCGCGCCGGGGCCTCCCTTGGGCAGCCTGGGCGCGGGCCGGGCCACGGACTACGACTCCCGCCAGGCGCCGCGGCGCAGCGCATGAGCCCTGCTCGGCTCCGGCGCGTCTATTATGCTGCCGGGGCCGGCGAGCCAAAGAGGAGCCGGCCGCGCGGGCCGGGAGGGGACGGCCGCCGGAGCCGCCGAGGCCAAGTACGCCTTTCTCTTGCTTCCTTGCGCGCGCGGGGCGGCGGGCGGCGCGGGCGGCGGCGGCGGGCCGGGCGGGCCGGGCAGCGCGGCCCCGAGCTCCCGGCGTAGGCCGCCGGCGCGTCCGGGGAGCCGGGCGCCCGGGCCGCCGCCGCCGCCGCCGCCTTTGTGCGCGGCCACGATGCAACAAAGCGCGGCGACCGCCCGGGCCCCTCTCCTCCGCCCTCCGCCCGCTCCCTCCCGGCCGCCGGCGTCCCGGGCTCGGGGGCGTCGCCGCGGCCGGGGCGCGCAGCCTGGAGTTGGCACGGCCCGCGCGCCCCTCCGGCCTCCCGTGCGCCGGCCTCACGGAAGGGATTTTCCCCCCTTTCCTCTGCCCGCCATCTTTTGGAGGGGAGATCGGGGAGGACGCGGCGGGGAAGGTGCGCGGCGCGTCCCGGGCCGCCGCGCGTTCCGGCGCCACTTTCCGTGCGCCCGCCCCGCCCTCCGCGGCTCCCTGCCGCCGCCGAGGCTCGCGCTGGGCCGGCGGCGGCCGGGCGGGGGGCGAGCGGGCCGAGTGCCCGCTCCGCGCGGCCGCCCGGGAGCCGCGGCGTGGCCCGGGCAGCGCCCTCCCCGAGTTGGGGGCCCAGCGCAGACTTGGCGCCCCTGCGCGGGTCGTTGCAGCCAGGCCAGGCGGAGACGCGGTTCCCATTTTGAAATCAGCTCGAAAAGCGCTTAACCCGGGCGAGGTCGAGTTGGAGCGGGAGGAGCGGGGGTGCTTCCTCAGTTTCCCACTCGGGGTGCACATGTTACAGACCCATCGGGGAGAAGTGCTCACCCCAAACCTCGAGTGTCTACATGTTCTAGTGGGATCCCCGTGAATAAAGCTGGGGGCTTGGGGGGAGGGGGGAGGCCTTTCTAGGCTTCCTTTCCCTGGGGCAGGGGGTGTTTTGGAAAGATGAAAGTGGGGGCACTGAGCAGGGTCCGCCACGAGACCCCCCTGGGCGGCCCCGTGGTTCATCTTGAGGTCTCTTCCTTGGGCCCAACCCCTGAGCGTCCCAGACCCTTATTTGTGGCCGAAAGCATTCTGCCCAGAAGTTCCTAACTGGTGGCCCCAGCCTCGTCCCCCGTGTTAACTGGGTCATTGACCGCAGAGTTAGGGGTGGTGTGTGTCCGTGGGCTAAGTACCCGGCCGGAGAGGCCCCTCTTCTTCAGTCCCTGCCCCTCCCCCCGCCCCGCAGGGAGGACCAGGAGGAAAGTTTTTTCTCCCTTGTTCTTTCCTGTAAAACGGGCTGTGCCCGGGCCCGTGGAGAGCCTGAAACCTCTGCAGAGTTGCCTGCTGTGGCCTTCTCCCCGGGGGAGCACTGTCGGCTTTCTGGGGGGGGGGGTCAAGAAAAGGTCTGAATCCCTGCACGGGTGAGCCCTCCGGAGTTAGGGACTCCTTCCCCGCCCCTCCCCCGGAGCTCTGAATGCGGGCCTTTCATTTGCAAATAAAGGTCTGTGTTTGCCCTTTTCTGTCTGGAGGCCTTGATGTGTGCTGGTGGTTACAGATCAGGAAAGATTGGGCACGCAGGGTGACTGGACGGGAGGCCACGCCAGGAGGTGGGGGCATTTCTCTCTGACCTTTCTGATAACCTGGGGGCCCGGTGCCTGGGCCCTGGGAACCCGACCCAAGCACGTCCTCAGTGGCTTAGGTGCAGCCCCAGCCGCACTACGGGGGTCCAGGGAGGAGGGATTTAAAGTGCTTTGGGGGGGGCGCGGAGGTGATGTTTGTTTTGTTTTTGGGAAATGGAGTCATTGCTTTTCTTCGACAACAGCTCTGGCAGCTTGGAAAGTGAGCTTTGCATAAAGCAGTTTGTAAACACTGCTCCTGCCTTTGACTTGGGGAGCCAGCAGCCTTGGGCAGAAAGTGAAAGTGGGGGTGGGTGAAACAGTGAACCGCCCCGCTCACCTCCTTCCTGCGCCCGTCCTTCAGGTTGGCCAGGTGCCAGCCGACAGTGGCGAGGTGCCTGGCCACTTCCTGGTTCTTGGTGGCAGAGCGTTGGAACGCTGGTTGGAGACCCCCAGAGTGGATTGGAGTGCCAGGTCTCCACCTCGGTGCCCAGCGTCCTGGCTGGCTTTCTGTCCACTGCTGGTGGGCCCTGTTCGCTCTGAGAAAGCAGCATTCCTCCGGGGGTTCACGGGGAGGCCTGGTGGGGCCCCCCAGACCCAAAGCCCACTCCGCCCCAGCACAGCTTCTGCTGGGAACTGGGCTCAGGCCGTTCTGCACGTGTCTTGGTTTGGGGGGCAGTTTTGGTGTTGAGCTCAAGTGTTTGGGTGGTGAGTGGCCTGGTCTCTCTTTTGTCTCCCCGACCAATCAGGCTGCATCCCACACACCCGCAGGCCCGGATACCTTGCGTCCGGAGGCAGGTGTCTGGTTGACGCGCTCCTTGCTTCGAAAGGTAACTTGAGTGAATTGTGGCAGAAAGCAGCACCTTGCGTGGGGCGTACTGCCTTCTGGGAACTTGGGGTTGGGGACCCTCCATCCCACCCACTCAAGGCTCCGCCCCCTGCTCCAGGAGATCAACAGGTGTTTGGGTCAGGGCTTCTGGTCACTGCCCAGGTGGGGACTGGCGCCTCACACTTTCTCAGTGTTCCTATGGTCACGAAGCCCTCGGACACCTGGATACCTGTGCTCTCGCCGGCAGAGAGGCTTGGGGCTCTTAAAGGCAAAGGGTCACGTTTGGGTCACCAGTGGGTGGTTTAGAGCAGGGACAACGGAACAGGCTTGGGGTGTGCTGTTGTAGGGCTGTGGGATGGGTATTCCTCTTCCGCCGTTTCTTAACGATTCCCTGAGGGAACCAGCTCTCCAGCTACCTCTCCTCGAGGGTCTTTCTAACCTCGAGTGGGAGCCGGCTGAAAGATGTCTTGTTGGGGACCCTCTCCTTACCGCAGGCCCCTGAAGTGTTGGGCCGGCCGTCAGGAGTCAGTGAGGTGTTCGGGGACTGTCCCTTGGGGCAGCGATGTCTTGGCGTCCCCTAGTCTGGTATGTCCAGGTGATGGGAAGCCGGGCTTGGTGACCCGTGTGGCAGCATTTCTAGAAGTGACGTTTGGTGGCGGGGGATGGCCGGGCCAGCCTCGGGGTGCCTGTGTCACAGGCGCTAAACTGTTGTGAGCAGCTGGGCTTGGCAGCGTCTGTTCTGAGAACGTTGACTGGGCACCTTCTGGTGCCAGCCCAGAGCCAGGTGCTGGGTGACATGCTGGGGCTCGGCTGGCTGTGGACTCCAGATAAGACGCACACCCCCTCTGTGCTGTCGTCTCGGCCAGGCCGTTTGTCGGTCTGGGGTGGGGAGGCACAGGCTGGCACTGTAGCCTGGGATGAGGGAGCCCCGGGCATGAGTGAAGTCTGCAGCCCTGGTGTGGGCGGCACATGGGCTCGTGGTGTGTTCGGGCTGTGCTGTCCCCTCTCCAGGGCACCAGGTTCTGGACAGCCTTCTCTGTGGGCACGAGGGGATTTTCTGGAAAGATGGGGACACCTGGGGAGCCTGGCTGTGTGTGGGGGGGGGGCATGGCAGACTACCAAAGACCCTGCTTTACCGAGGGCTGCGCCATCCCAGGTCCTGCTCTGGGCCCACCAGCTGGCTGCCCATTGTGCTGAGAGGTGGCTGAATGAGGGGCGGGCAGGGCCACCTTCCTGGATGACAGGATGGGACAGTGGCCCTGGCCTCCCGGCCCCCATTCCTGTCACCGTGCATCTTGGCTCCGAGGCCTCCCAGACCTGGGACCCGGCTCTTGGCCTCATGTGCCATCTCGTAGGTGGGATGATAAGGTTAAGAGGTCTTTCTCGGGGGGTCGCTGCCAGGGGTCCGAGGATGACTCCGGGCAGAGGGACAACCATTTCCTCAAGCAGTTCGGGACACCTGGGGGTTTTCCCCAGTTCAGGTTTGCTGACCCCTGCATCGGGCGGTGAGTGGCAGGCGTTTGGATGGGCGAGGGCTGAGCCTGGGTGCAAGTCTGCACCCCGCCCCTGAGCAGGTGGAGGGTGTCTGGATGCCTTGGGTCCCTGTTCTCTGTGGTGCGGCCAGACGCTCTGGAAGTTCCTGCCCCTCACCCTCGCGATCTGGGGGACCGGTTTGGAGTGGGGGCATCTAGGCTTGGTGGGGCCAGCGGGTTCAGGGCCCCGGTGCGTGCAGCAGTGACTTTCCCGGGCTCCGGTTTTGTGCGCAGGCCAGGGTGCTGACGGTTTATAAAGCGGTACACCTTGAGGACACGGGTCTGCTTCTGGGCCTGGAGGAGAGGGGCCTGGAGCTCCCGGATCCCTTCCTGTGACCGAACAGGCCGGGTACCAGGCGGGCCTGGCCGAGGCTTTGTTCTAGCAAGTGCAGGGGTTGGTGGAGCCTCAGACACGCTGAGCCGTGGTGCCTACAGGGCCAGGCCCCCCAAAGCAGGACCGCCTGACCTGTAGGGTCCTCTGGGACTGCGTGGCCCAGGGAGGACGGTCCTCTCCCTCCTCCAGGACATGGTTGGGGCACTGGTCGTGCCCTGAAGGCGTTACCCTTCGAGCTGTGGGCCTGTTGCCCCCTCCCAGGCCTGTGGAGGGGTCCTTGGGTGCGGCGGTGGCCTAGCCTCGAGGAGGTGCCCCGCAGGGGTGCGTGTGGGGCTGCCAGGGCTCCCCAGAGGAGCAGCACCAGGTTGCAGAGGTGCGTTGAGTGCCAGCCCGGGCCCCCACAGGGGAGCAGTGAGCCCTGCTCGGCGCCTGGAGACGCCGTTGTAGCAGGTGTCCCTGTGAGGTCGACATTCTGGCAAGAGAGGAAGGAAGCCTTCTGAGGCGGCAGTGCCAGGTGCCGGGTCCTGCAGGAGCTGTGGGTGCAGAACCGAGGGGACGCGGGCCGTGTTGGGAAGGGACACTCCCCTGCCAGTCCATCTGCGGCCTGGCCCGGGACCTAAGGACAGCCCTCCAGGCCTGGAGGAGATGCCCCCTTGTTCCGGCCCCTGCCCACCCTCCGTGGCTGGAAGCCCCTCCGTCCGGTGCCTGGAGGCCAGCACCCCGC